ACAAAGAATTTGGATCCGATAACAGCCTCCAACATTGCTTAGCCAAAAGAGCATCGTTGAAGTCCGTGAAGCATCGCAAACCAAGACCACCATCTTGTTTTGATCGGCCCAAAAGTTCCTTAGAGACCCAGTAGATACGGTTCTCTCCCTCTTTTTGACCCCACCAAAAATTCGAAATCAAAGCATCAAGTTCATTGCAAAGAGTCGAAGGAAATTTGAAGAGGTTCATAGGATACGCCGGAATTGCTTGCGCCACCGCCTTGATTAGGATTTCACGCCCCGCCTGAGATAGAGTAGACCGCTTCCAACCTTGGATTTTTCCTAGCAGACGACCTTTGATGTAAGCAAGACCGTTCTTTTTTTATTTCCCCCATATAGCTAGAACACCCAAGTACAATCCCGGATCACCAACTATTTCCATACCAAGAATGGCAGCAAGTTGGATTGAAAGAGACTCCGGAACATTTCCCCCAAAATAAACACTGGATTTTGACTTATTGACCTGTTGTCCCGAAGCCAAGCAGTACTCATCAATTACCTGAACTAAATTCCTGCAATTTCTCTCATCAGCCTTCATGAAAATCAGAGTATCATCAGCAAAAAATATATGAGAGATCATAGGACCGGCAAGGCCCATTTTTACCCCTTCAATCTGTTTTCTTTCACCCGCCTGTTTTATAAGCAGAGATAGCACCTCACTGACCAGCAAAAAGAGATATGGGGACAGGGGATCCCCCTGGCGAAGCCCGCGAGAAGGAGCGAACCGAGGTCCAGGTTGACCATTTAGCAGAATGGCGAAACTAACAGTGGAGATACACCCCAGGATTAAAGATCTCCAGCGACTATCAAAGCCCATCTTCTCCATGACTGCCAGTAAGAAGTCCCATTCTACCCTGTCATAAGCTTTATGCATGTCCAGTTTGATTCCCAACTCCAGCTTGCATTTCGTCTTTCTTGTTTTGAGGAAATGGAATAGCTCATGCGCAATACCAATGTTGTCTTGAATTTGTCTACCTTCCACAAAAGCATTTTGGGTTGGAGAGATCAGATCCGGCAGAAACCTTTTTAAGCGATTGGCCAAGACCTTGGAGAGAATTTTGTAAGAAAAGTTGCAGAGGCTGATGGGACGAAAATGAGACACAGACTCCGGGTTAGGAACTTTCGGAATTAGAGCCAGATGAGTTGCATTGATTCGCAAGGGTTGTAAAGACCCTGCCATCAGATCCTCAATCATATTATTTACGTCCGCAGCTATTATATCCCACTGTGATCGAAAAAAGATGCCTTGGAAACCGTCGGGGCCAGGGGCTTTGAGCCCACCCATATTTAAAGCAGCCTGTTTAATTTCGTCCGCAGAAACCGGAGCCGATAATGTAGCATTCATCTCCTCTGAAACCTTAGGAATGACGCAGTCAAGGAGGCCACCCCAATCCCTATGTCCCGATGAAGAGAACAGATCCATAAAGTGCTCATCAAACAGCCTGCGAATCTGATCAGGATTATCCACCCACTCCTCATTATCACTCTTGAGAGTAACCACCTTATTCCTCCTTCTTCTTTGTAAAGTAGACTGATGAAAGAACTTTGTGTTGGCATCCCCTTCCTGTAGCCACTGGACCCTAGATTTCTGTTTCCAAACACTTTCCTCCTGACTCCACAGAGTGTCGACAGCTTTTGAAACATCCTCAATTTCTTGAGAGTTGCTTCTCCAGTCCATTTGAAGCAGTCCCAGATGGTTCATCATCTTCTGAATTTTCCAGCGTCTCTGACTAAATTTCCTTCTACTCCATCTAATAAGCCGAGCACGGCAGTCACAGATTTTTTTGTTCCATCTCTCAACCGAGTTGCCTTCCTGGGGTAGCTCCCAGACTTGTCTCACAATCTCCTTGCAATCATTCTCGTTTGCCCAATAAGCCTCAAACCTGAATATCTTTTTCCTAATATCCACCTTCGGAGCACAGTGCACTATAACATGATTATGGTCAGAACCCAACGCCGTGCCAATAGAGACCAAGCAATTTGGCCAAAGAACTTGCCAATTTTCATTCCCAAGCGCACGGTCCAATCGTGCCTCCACAAGTTGCCCATTTCGATTCCCTCGCCAAGTGAACTTAGGGCCATTATAGCCCAAGTCCGATATCTCCAATTTGCACATAAACTCCTCTAGATATCTTGTGCGGTTATATCTCACTTCAGCTCATCCAGATTTCTCATGATCCCATAGGAATTCATTAAAATCCCCACCACATATCCACGGGGTATCATTCGTTCGCTCCAATTTAATATTGATGGCTTGGCTAAAAGAAACCATTGTCCTGCTACTTGTAGTGAATTTTATAGGAATTGGCATGGTTGGTTTCTTGGTGGTGTTTGTCAAGGTATTGGTCGTCACAGTTGATTTTTTTTCTAGAATTATTAGTTGCTATCATTGATTTTGATTTTGTTTATTAGTAGGGTTCCCATACATTTTTATTTGAAATGTGATTCGTTTCATGTTCATGATTGTTTTCGGTCATTAATGAATTTGTCCCTCCTAAGCGTACATATAATTCATAATTTTTTTTTTTTTACAATTATAACAGAATTAACTGAATAGAGACCAATTTGCATATGCCATTCTACCATTTTCTTCAACAAATGGCATTTATTTTATGTACATTTACTTTTGTTTTGTTTGGTTTGGTTTGACAAATAATTCATGCATTCAATTGAATACCTCATACCAATAAAAAAGAAAGAAAAAAAATGAGGATTATTTAAATATTAATCATGTCATATGTCATTTATCATTCCAATTCCCAATCGATGCAACTAATACCTAAAAATATCCCTTCGTTAGTAAAGCCAAACAATGAGTGAGATCGATGTTGTTTAATATCCTCTTAAATTATTTTACAAAACCAACCACAAACTAAAAAATGCCAAAAAACTCAAAGAAAATTACACACAAGGTTGAGCACGTGTGATGATGAACTTTGGAACTAGAGGCACGCAAATAATCTTGCGAAATGTCAGCTATTTCATTTGCATGCATAAAACTCCCCCGAGTGTGACGCTCCACCCACTTTTAGATCTTCAATTGACCATTTTTTTTGGTGTGAAAATGTTGAGGATGAGGGGAGGCTACCCCATGCTTGGGGTAGGGCATATTGTAAGTTTTTTGAGGTTTACAGATGACCCATTAAGAGGGATTGCCGACAGCGAGATTCAGACATAAGCCTTGGTCTCACGAAGATAGCGCTCCTTACCAACTCAACAAATCCTCATTGGCCTTCAATTGACTAATTTTTGTTATCACGTGTGGATCTCCCTAATCCTTAGCAATTAGGTTTTTAAAAAAAATTAGAAAAAAAACTAAAATAAAAGAAATTTCCCCATATAAAAATAAGGACTAACATGGGGATATATAATACAATTTGTTACCTGTTTTTCACCAAACACGTGACAAGTCTTATTTGTTTTGATGAGTATTGGATGATTGATGGTTATTCCAATTTTGTAATTAGAATTCCAAAGTGTAATCTTAGAGAGCCCCCATGAGGAATAATAAGCATTTATTTGTTTTCATACTTATGTTGTAACGTATTATAATATAATATGGATGAGAATATTTTCCACACCCAAAATAGCTAACTAACATCATCTCACATTTAGGGTGTAGATGGTAGATACAACCATTTTTGTGATGACAATCACTCCACTAAACTTTCCGGTGCGAAATGCTTATGTTTAGTTCCGCTTCCTAAAACTTCACTTTGATCTCACTTTGCCTTTATAACTTAAATGTCACAACTTCACTCCCTGAAACATATGTGGAATGCAGCACCCAATAAGACTATGCCTCATGTGCAATAACATTGATTATAAATCTTCATTATGCGTTAACATTCAATAATAAAAAAATATTAAGTTTAAAAAAATTGAAGAGATGAAAAAAATAAAAAAATAAGTTAATTAACTTGGCTCACCCAAATCAAACTCACACAAAAAATTAACATACCTAAGGCAATGTGGAGCTTTTTAGTTTAATAGAGACAATTTTTAAGTTTCAGGAAACAAAATGGTATCAAAATATAGTTTCAATGGTAAAATGAAGTAAACTTCGAGTTTTTAAGAGTAAAATTGAGACTTTTAAATTATTAAGAGTAAGGTGATATTAAAGCCGTCGAGTTACAGGGGACTTCTCAAAAAAAATAAGCCCCGAAGAAACACTACATTGTCTTGCACACATGTCATAAGTAAAGAATATATGCACGGAACTTATTTATTAGTAGCGAAAATGACATTGGATTTCAAAGAAACTGAGGATAATAGCAAGAGTCTTGACTTTTTAGGATGTTTTGAGTTTTCGTATCCCAGCCCATAAGTAACATGATTTTTAAATAATTTTTACCGTTTGATTTTTTAAAATTAGTCTTCACCGTTTTGTAGTTTCGGATTATTAGAAAAAAGGATAAATTTTAAAGGATTAATACGATTAATCATCGATTTTGTCTAAATTTAACCATTTATTATTAGGTGTTGAATTTTTCACAAGAGATCTCAATAATGCTAGTAGTAAAAACTCTTATATATTAATTGTATATTATTTTATCATGCCCGACATGAGATCTTATTTTCCAACGAAAAAATGGGTTAATATCATAGGTTAAGAAGAATACAATATTGAAAATATACAACAAATACCATTTTCAAAAGGAAAGAAAAATTATGGATCGGTCACACTCACATCAATTTGTTTTCTCTTTCTACTTGTACATGAAAAAAAAATAAAAAAATAAAAAAATTCTAAAAAAAAAATGGAGAAGAAATTAGTGGTGTATTGAGTGCCCACATGATTGGTGTGTGCAAGTGTCCCCACAGACACCACCAGAGCCTAAAATACAGCTTTTTTCTCTGCATCGCCTTTGTTTTCCCTTTTTACCTTTTGCAGCGAGAAAAGATAGTTTTAAAAGGAAGCTCAAAAGAAAACATGGCTACTTGCTAAGTTGAGAGAGAGAAAGAGAGAGAGAGAGAGAGAGAGAGAGACGGACTCAGAATTCAAAAACTCGCAAGGAGAAGAAGAAGAAGAAGAAGAAGAAGAAGAACAGAACCCACCATTCCTACTCTCTCTCTCTCTCTCTCTCTCTCTCTTTCTCTTCCATTGGAACCCACAATTTCCATCTCCATGCGTGATTGAACAGAGTGAAGCAAAAGCAAAAGCAAAAGCAAAACAACAACAATGAAGCTGCTGCTGCTTCTTCTTCTTCTTCTTGTTCAAATTTTGCTTTTGCTTCTTGTACAACCAAATCCCATTTGTGTTGGCGCCACACCGACTGACCCATTTCTTTCCTCCATATCTGCTCCTCTCTCCTCGCCCATTTCTCCAATTGCTTCATCAATGGCTACCTTCACTCCGGGTACTCTCTCTCTAGACTCTTCCTTTTTCATTTCTAGCAACTGGGATTTTATCTGGGTCACGAGTGCTCCACTCCGAATTTTGAATTTCAAAAATGGCCGCCAAATCGTGCATTTACTGCAATCAATTGAGTTAAATTTCTCTGATTTTATCGATTTCTTGCTGAAATTACCCATTTTTTGTTGATGTTGGTGCAAAATCTGCATGCTTTAATGTGTTAGATTCTGCCCATTTGATCAAAATTTGCTTAAACATTGGCTCTATATATTTGTTGTGGAATCAGGTATTGCAGAAGGAAGTGAAGGGCATCAAATGGGTTCACATAAGAAAATGCTAATTCCACTCATTATTACTTGCACTGCACTTGGTGTAGTTTTTTTGTCACTGTTGTGCTTGTGGATTTACCACAAAAAGTTTCAACACAAATCCCACAAGAAAAGTGGTCAGAGCAGCTCAGGTACTTTCACTTTTACAAACACTTTTTTGGTCCCTAAATATTGCTTCAATTTGTGGGTTTTAGTGTTTTTGTGGATTGCTGGCTGAGATTTTGTGTTTTGCTTGGTTCTGTTTCTTTGGTTTGAATGTGAAGATGCCGAGAAGGGGCTTGCATTGGGTCCATTTGCGGGTAAATTCAATTCCATAAGGATGGTTTCTAAGAAAGGATCTGTTCCAGTAATTGAATACAAGGTACTAGAAACAGGCACCAACAATTTTTTGGATAGCAATATTATCGGTGAGGGTGGATTTGGATGCGTTTATAAGGGTCGGTTGGATGATAATTTGCTTGTTGCAGTCAAGAAACTAGACTGTGCAAATCAGGATGCTGAGAGAGAATTTGAGGTAACCTTTGTTTGACATTTTAGTTGGAGTTTTTTTATTCATCATTTGTCGATTTTATCTGGCGTTCTTGTTGTACTCAATTGAATTACCATTTGGAATTGCAGAATGAGGTGGAGTTGTTGCATAAAATTCAGCATCCAAATATAATTACCCTTTTGGGTTGCAGTATTAATGGTGACTCAAGGTTCATTGTTTATGAACTGATGTATAGCGGATCTCTGGAAACTCAATTGCACGGTAAAACAGTTGTTTCATTCTTCTATTTTTAATCTCAAGAAGGTAATCAAATGGTGCTAATATCTTTTCAAATTGTTGTAGGACCCTCTCATGGTTCCGCATTAACATGGCCCATGCGAATGAAAATTGCTCTTGATGCAGCAAGGTGAGCTTGGTTTTCTCAGTTGTTTTCTTCTTGTTCTTGGTTCTTACATATTAACTAACATATTGGCCACTGTTGACCAGAGGGTTAGAATATCTACACGAGTACTGCAGCCCCCCAGTGATCCATAGAGATCTGAAAACATCTAATATTCTTTTAGATGCCAACTTCAATGCCAAGGTAGGGTTGTATAAATTATTGCAGTGTCTCATCTTTCCTTTTTAAATAGTAAGTTTCCATTTAAAAAATGGCTGCAATGCATTATTAGCCTCTTGCATTTAATTTCACTGATTTTTTTTCTCTCTCTCATGGTTGCTGGTTTCAGCTCTCTGATTTTGGTCTTGCCGTGGCTGACGGGGCCAAAAATAGTAAGAACATCAAGCTTTCTGGAACGTTGGGTTATGTTGCTCCAGAGTATCTTTTAGATGGTATGCCAACTAAACTTGTAATAATTGCAACATGTATTCTTTGAATCGCACTGATTGAATTTCAGTTTTCTTTTCGCTTAGCTAGTTGTTATCTAATTGTTCTTTGGCCCCTTGACAACAGCAATGGCACTAAGTTTGATAGAGATATTAAAAAATGTGTCTTTTAATTAAGCTATATTGGGTCCATAGCTGCACATGTTCTGCTAGTGGATGCATATTCCATTTCAGATCTGGAAGAGGAAATTCCATACCTACTTGCTTTACCTCAAGCTTAATTAATCGAAATTAGGGATGGTGTGAGCCATTTATGTTGAACTGGTTTGAACACGAGAGAGGAGAAAGGTAGTTGCCGGCATTCAATTTTTGGGTGACATGTTGATTTTCTGAAAAGTTTGGACTCCCATTGAAGAAAAGTTTAGCTGATTAATAGTGAAACTTTTGGTTATAGACGCGGTTATAATGCATGCTAGATTCACATGTTTAAACAAATAACAGTCACCAAAATGCACGTAGTCAGTTAAGATACCAAGCAGCATAATTTTCTGAAGTGTGGTGCAAGTTTTGCAGACTCACGGTTCCATTTTGTTGTAGAATTTGAAACATCATTAAGCTTGATCTGTTTATCTCTTCCAATTTTTGGCGGTATATAATAAAATCACTCGTGTGATTTTTTAGGTAAATTGACGGATAAGAGTGATGTCTATGCTTTTGGAGTTGTGCTTCTGGAGCTTCTACTAGGAAGAAGGCCTGTTGAAAAACTTTCACCAACTCAGTGCCAATCTATAGTCACATGGGTATGCCTTTCTTGTAACTGCTCTCCATTAAATTTATTTGCATTAATTCCCACTAAAAACTAAAAACTTCAAATTCAATGATGTAATACAGGCCCTGCCTCAGCTCACTGACAGATCAAAGCTTCCAAACATTGTGGATCCCGTGATCAAAGATTCCATGGATCTGAAGCACTTATACCAGGTTTGTGAATTACAAATCCAGCCTGCTCGATTCTAATTAGCTCCATGATAAGACTCCTGCTTGACTCTGTACATTGACTCCTCGTTCTGTGCTGAATGGACCTGAAATTTCATGCCTTGGTACAACTAATGAGTTGCAATGTGTTACTTACAGGTTGCTGCTGTTGCTGTGTTATGTGTGCAACCGGAACCAAGTTACCGCCCACTGATAACAGATGTTTTGCATTCCCTTGTTCCTCTTGTTCCGGTGGATCTCGGAGGGACTCTAAGAGTTACCCAACCTGGACCTCCGGAAAGCACCCCATTGTCTCCTGGTCACTGATGCACGAGAAATGCTTCATGATGCTTCTACAACATTTTTGGGTGTCCACTGCTCTAATCCCTCCCCCAAATCGCTCATTGATTTGCATTTGCTAACAAAGATCTTGCTGGGAAGTTAATGCCTTCGGTTATTGCTGTGGAAGAAAGTCGCCCCGGCGGGGTGAAAAATTCTTGGTATAATTTTACACCTCTGTAAATTGAATGAATTTGGTTTAAGAAACTTGTGCATATGAGGCGCATTCGTCCAAGACGCTAGCTAATTTCAATTTTGACCCTTTTGTTTTCAGTGTATGAAATCAGCTAATTTTCTGGGGTCATTTGAATTACCTCTGGAGATCTGTTTGTTTCTCCTGAGAGTGCTCTAGGATTGTAAAAGCTATAAATAATCTTTTTCTAATGAACTAAAATTGTTATGTAAAGCATCAATACTACCATCTTAGGAGCATTGCCGTGAAAAAGTTCCTGGTACATGAATTAGATTCTAGCCACCAAACTAAACAAAGTTGAGGTTTCACTCATGTGTGGTGGCACTTTAAACACGTGTGCAACACGTATTTAGTGACATGTAGTATGCGTGGTTATTAGATTTCATATGTAGGCTATCATATTCTGACACCAAGAAAGAAAATGAGGTTCATTTTGAGACAAATCGGCAATAAGAGTAACCCAGCTCCTTAAACGCAACTTTGATAGAACTTCGCAACTTTTCAACGTGAGACAACACTTTACATTCTTTAGTGTAATTAAGTTCCCCTTTTTCACTTGGACGACCTTTATTGGGCAAAATTTTGACCTTGGTGTGGCCACTGTTAAGTCTACACTTCTAGAAAACACGTCTAAGTGGCAAGGTAATAATGTTTCATGATGAATTTTATATGAAACAAAATCCATCTATGTTGCTTTTCGTAATTGCTCTTTTTTGTATGATTGGAGGAAAACACAGCTTTTTTTATTTGCAAAATTTGGAATGCATATATGGATTCCATATTTCAACGAGACAAGACTGCACCCTAGTCAAAAGAAACTCATATAAGTTTTTTCATAAGGTTAAACTGATACATCTGAAGTCTCGTGTTCAGTTTTCCCTTCTTTAAATAGTGACGTCTCATATGTGCCATTCTAGCTACTTGGATTGACTTTTGAAAAATTTAATGGTGATGGGGCAAAGTAGAACGTCAAACATCGATCAATGGATCACATCATTACTTTTGAGAAGTGATATGGAGTTCGATCGTATTTTTAGGGGCATTACATCAGTTAAACCTTACAATTTTGGCTGCAAACTTTCCTATCCAGTAACAATATGGGAGGTGATTTCCGCACAATTTTTTTTTTCTTACTCTACACACATCTATTTAGTTTTGTCCCCCGATTCTATATAGATTTAACCTATCTACAGAAATCATTTCCTTGAGAATTTGTGTACAAAGTGAAAGCATACGATCAAGAACATTAAGTAGTGAATTAAGCCCTCATGATTTACGATCTCATAATTGTTTCCAACTGTATATCTCCGGGGACTAATAATATAACAATCTTAATAGAGACTTGCAGAGGATTTGTATGCCCATAACACAATGAAAACAAGGATTTGCAGAGGATTCATATGATCTTAAAGCAATGAAAACCAAAGAATTTTCGTGTTCTTTTCTACTGGTCTTTGGGGTTGACATGTTGCTTGCTAGGGTTCTTCTCCTCCTTCATTGCCATTGCCTTGTGATCACTTCGGTTACGAACTAGCCTATAATTATGCAGATGGTGGATTGTCTGCGTCCCGGGTTCAAACCCAACCCCCCTTCTTGAATAAAAATAAACTACCTCTAAATTCTAATTATGAACTAGTGAATCTATGAGTTTAGTGATCTGGAGCAGCTGTTTATGTAGAACAGAACATTTGTGGTGGCCCATCTCACCCTAAAGCACAAGTAGATTAATCATAAATGAGTGGACAAGTAGGTTCTTCTATGAGATAGAAGAACACAAACATTATTCCCAACAGTAATCCCCAGCGTACTGATCTTTTGACAGTTCTTTATTCTATGGTCTTTTATCTTCCTCAGCAAAGTTAAAGTAAAAGGGACCATATACGTGCCAGATTTTAATTAAATATTGTTGGCAACTATAAAGTAATGATCTTCAAATGAATATTAAAAGATTGAACGGTCTCAATTATGAAAATTTTACAATGAAAATACATTATAAGTGAAGGAAAAGAAAGACAAAGTTTTACCATCGCATATCTATATAGGCTTATGAGTTTATCTTCTCTAAGAAAATCATATTATATAATAAAGTGAAATATTGAATATTATAGTCTTTTTAAGATGTTAAATAAGGGACAAATATATGAACATGTCATTTCTTCTCATACAGATTCACGCATTCTTCGATTTCAACTAAATAAACACGTGATTAAAATCTTAAAAGTGCTTTTGTATAAAACTTACAATTGTTAAGAATATTTTTCTTTGAGAGTTGTATCGTATGAAAACAAAGATTTACAGGAAATCTGTAAAATATTGGTTTAGATGCTAGTCCCATTCATGATAGGTCAAAGTTCAATCAATACTGGCAAACAGTGAGGTAATTAATACTTTAATTATTAGGGTTTGTTTGAAGGGATGTTTTTTTTTGCGTCCATTCGCTTGCTCAAATGGGCTTCCGATTTGGAAGCAAGGAATGCGATCAAGCTGAGCTTCGTCCAGCCAAGAAAATGAGTTTCGGTTCAACTCCTTTGTTTCTTCATATTTTAGTAGTACTTCTGTTTTAATGTTAAAAAATGTCCCATTCCAATCCCCAAAAAAGGAAATTGGTGGGTTATATTTTTGAATGGGTCAATGGTACCATGACATGTCATTCTTGAACCATGCTAGATGTTGTGTAGCCTACCGGGGAACATGCTCGATGGTTTTCCCTTTCATGGATTTCTGTATCACAAAAACTCAAAAGGCAATACTCTTGATTTTATTCTTATTTCCAATGTATTAGAAGTAGGGGTGCAACTTGAACGGGTTGTTGGGCCAATTGGAAGGTCAATCCAACCCCAACCCAACATTCATAATTTGGGTCGGGTTTCATTTCGGTTCATTTGGATCCAAGCTTAATTGGGTTTGGGTTTACTTGGGTAGAGTTCGGGTTGACCAACTTTTTTGAGTTTAATCCTTTAAAAAAATTAAGTCAAATAACATTAGAGCTAGTTAACTTCAATATTATAAATCAATCAAAACTTGAATTCAATTCCACAAATTAATATCCACTTAAAAGTTAAGCCAAATACGCAAGTTTTAACCATGCAAAGTTTGAATTAAACATACAAGAAAATACCAGAGCTTGTATGAAATGAAATTGTACCAAATATTATAAAGGTTGTTGGTTGTTGGACTTGGGTGTAATATGCGCATTAGTTCATTTGGGTTATAATCGGGTTAGAGTGGTTTGATAAATCGGGTTGGGCATGGGTGGACAAAGAATCAACCAACCCAACCCAATAAATGACCAAATTGGAGTTGGGTTGGGTTCAGGCATGTAATAACTAGGAAAAAGTCGGCTTGTTTGGGTTAAAATTCGGATTGAATATGAGCGAGTTTAGGTTGGCCCAATCCAAATTCGCCCCTAATTGGAAGTAGAGGATGCATACAATTAGAAGATTTTAATTTGTCTTTAACATAAAAAAAAATATAAAATGAATATAAAAAATAAAAGTGAAAAAAGGTAATATTAAAATTAACTAATAATTATATTGATTTTTTGGACTAATATCCAAATGCCCCCAATATTTAATTAAAATCTTGCACACATAGAGTCCCTTTTACTTCACCTTTGCTGATAGATAAAAGACCATAAAGTAAAGAATTGTCAAAAGATTAGTACGATGGGGATTATTGTTGGGAACATCTCATAGGGGTACCTACTTATCTTCTCATTTATAATTAACGTGTCTTAACAACAACATGATTGGAACCTCATAAGGGACTCGTATTATATATAAAGTGAAATATTGAATATTAAATTTTTCTTAAGATGTCAAATACGGAATAGATATATGGACATGTCATTTCATATACCAATTCATACCTTCTCTAACTTCAAATAAGTAAACACATGATTAAAGTCTTAGAAGTACTTTTGTATAACTTACAATTGTTAAGAGTAATTTTCTTGGAGAGTTTCTATCGCATGAAAACAAAGATTTTGCAGAGAACTCATAAAAGATTCGCCGGATGCTAGTCCCTTTTATGTTTGGATTTTTTTGCAGACCTTATTTGAAACATGCTCAACTTTGTATAATAATGAACTAAAAATATGAAACGTCAATGTTCCATCAATACCTGTAAGAAGCTTGTGCATATGAGGCACATTCGTCCAAGACGCTAGCTAATTTCAATTTTGACCCTTTTGTTTTCAGTGTATGAATCTGCTAAATTTCTGGGGTCATTTGATAATTTACCTCTGGAGATCTGTTTGTTTCTCCTGAGTGCTCTAGGATTGTAAAAGCTATAAGTAATTGTTTGGGTTAAAACTTGAACTTTGAGCTCAAAAGGGAGCCCGAAGCCCAGCCAAAGCCCAGAAGGCAGAAAAGGGATTTTTTTCCGACTAGGTGCAGATCATTTGCACCACTTGTTCACCTACCTAGATACCAATTGGTGTAGACCAGCAAGCTAATCATCCCAAAAGCACTTTACAGTGGCAGTACAAGTAAAAAGATGATGAGTCATTGCCCTTCAAGCTGCATTCGGGCAAGGTTAAAGCTAAAGAAGGCTAAGCCAAACTGTCTATAAAAGAAGAAAGAGAAATCAGATATGAGGACACTCAAACAACCAAACAAATACAAGCACAAACTCTGCTTAAGCCAGATTTGCTTTCAATAAAGCTGTAGTCAGCCCAAGCCTTCATCCATTTCGGGATCAACCCTCACCTAAAGCCTTTGTAAAAGCTTTGCTACCTTATATAAATCCTGCTGTAGTATCGATTTCTTTCTGTAAACTCATCCCCTTATCCCTCTTTCTAAAACTCTCAAGCCCCTCTATAAATCACAAAGATAGGAAGTTGCAAGACGACCAGTCTTGCCCGACAAGGTGAAACCTTGCCCGACCCTCTTTGTGTTTTGTCTTTTCATTCATAAGTCTAGTAATATGTTGTATACTTCCATTTGTATCCAGGTTAGTTCCAGCAAGTTGATGATTAAAAGACTCCTCAGTGCTTGAATCCGATTGGAATATGTAGTCACAACTTAAATCAGATCTAAGTTCTAAACCCTCGGGCATGTAAGATTGATCATCCAAAAGTCCTTGGTCTCAAGGCATAAAAAAGAACCTTATGTGGACTTAACCCATCCACGACAGTCTTTGATAACAAGAAGTCCGAAGTTACTTGGGGCGCAAGTAATCGACCTATTTCTTAGTTTTATTTCTGTTATATTGTGATTA